GCCTGGTTACAATGAGTTGGGAGATGTCCAACATTGAGCTTGTTGTGGCGGGTGGCTGCCCGATTTTTGTTGTTCCACTGTCATCTGCGATGCCGTACTTCCACAACTTGTGAAGAAGGGGGCCACTCCACAGGTTGGCAGAAGTTCTCGAATTCGGAATGGTATTCAATATGGTAGATTCACTCTGCGCAATCGGATTGAGTGGTTTGAACCGAACCACTACTCTTGTGCCTGCATCCACCGATGTCACAATTGGTGTGATGATTCTCTCTTGTCACTCTTTGGTTCACTGACCTTCGACGCGGAAGCTCGTTGGTTGCCGATGACCTTGTCGTGCCTGCTTGAGAGAAAAAGGAAGCTCCCCCCAACGTCCCAAGAAACTGGAAAATGTTGGTTGGCCCTCAGGCGAGGGGAGCTATCCTGCGTCCTAGGTAGTAGCTTAAGTAGCTAGTAGCTACATCTCCCTTACTTAATCAAGTAGGCACCTACTTAGTTAAGGGGGGGAGAGGGCAAAAAAAAACCATAACTTGGAAGCCGCTTTCTCGAAAAATCTACGCGGAGACGATGATGGTAAAGAGGATTTCGTCGCCACAACCGCCGCAACCCAGCTAGGGCCTCGCACGCAGTGTGTGAGCAGCAAAGGCCAATGGTGAAGGACGACTCGAAAAGCCTGTCAAGGAGAAGACAAGTGGTCTTGGCTTTGCCAAACATGGCGGTTTGCCAATTGATTGAAAACCTATTGTGCAATATTGTGCATCAACTAACTTCAAGTTTACCCAAGTGCTTTGACAGTACATCTATTGCACTTGGTCTGCTTACTCAGCTGCGACTGATGTCTACCTGTATCTTTGGAGAATAGGGGAATGGTACATCAACCATGGCCTCGAGGATTGGAAGACCGTGGCTGCTCTGGCATGATGTCATCCTGTGGCACATCTCCCAGCTTTGGGCAAGTTTGGCTGGCTCTTTTGAGCTTGAAGCATCATGAAGCATCTTGAAGCAATGGCCTCCAAGCTAGTTGATTTCAGAAACAAGACTCCGGGCCTCTGACAACTCACAGGCCTCAGGAAGCAGGATTCCAAGCAACACTGGTGCAATGGGCAATGGGGAACTTCCACATTCTGTGAAGTTCCCTGTATTTGTGCTGCTTTGTTTTGATGGCTTAGGTCACTCTGCCGGAACGGCTTCGCCGCGGCTTCGCCGCTTCGCCCTCCGGTCTTGGTGGTCAGCCACGGTGTATCTTTAGTCGAGGACTCCGAGGTCGCCACCTGTGATTCGCTCTGCAAAGCAGTGAGGACCATGGTCGGATTGGCCTGGAAAGCGCAAAACGCTGAAACGAACAGGTCGTGTGAAGGGCAAGCTCACCTGAAACTCATATGGCAGGTGCTCCAATGCTGCTGGGCATGCGGTCCTCAGCTTCAGCCGGTTAAGGTGCTCTCGCACTTCGCTCGCTTCGTGTCACGACTGGAAGATCTGAAAGTCTACCAATTTCGACTGCGAATGCAATGTGCCCTAAGAAGCCCCTGTAAAACATGCCCCTTTTTGACTGCACGATCTCTAGTCACCCGCAAGCCCCGGCCCAAGTCCATGAAGTCTTTGAACTCCCAGGCGCAAAAGTGTCTCCACAAAGGCCGAATCTTGCACATCGATGCAATGCAAGACCTCAGGGTTCTTCAGGACAGCTGCCATCACGAACTCCTGACAGGAAAGCCACCTTGATGCACTTTGAAGGCTTGAAACATGACTACTAGACCATAGCCCTTGAAAGGAAACACAAAACGTTCCATTCAAGAACTTAGGCTTTTCTCAAGTCGAGGCAGCCGCGATACTCACTATAAATGCGTTAAGCCAGTTAAGCGACGCCTTTAAAAATGGCTTCAACCCTGAGAAGCTGTTTTTACAAATGATCTCTCCAAAAGATGGGAGCAAAGTATCATGAAACTGGAAAAGGATGGACAAAGTAACACAAAGCTGACAAAAGCTGCCTGGTCTGCCTGCATTTCTTTGGGCGCAAGTCGGAATGCCTCAAACAGAACAAGCAAGCTCTTGCATGAGCTCTGGTGCAATGCTTCAAGCAATGCTCCACTGTTCCGTCAGATAGCCTCGCCTTGGGATAACTCCTGATGGCCAAGAGCAAGAGATCTTGGTCCTGCCAGAGACTCAAGTCTTCAAGGTTTCAGTTTTCCTAGGGAACAAGGACGCTACTAGGAGCAAAGGGCATGGCTAGCAAGGACGCTACTAGGATCCTTAAAGCAAGAGCTTCCTTTTGGCCGTTCCACGCGGATCTCATGTGATCCGTCCTCAGACATCGGCTTCTGCATGAATCTGATGGCGCTACCATGCACACGTAGGGCCATCATAGCCTCGGATCGCTTCACAGGTCTGCTCATGTCCGATCGACCGAAGCAGCAGTGGATCAAAAGTCATCCAAAAACACACTCAAAAACTCTCTATTTTGGTACAATCAGCTGGAAGTTGTCTCTAAAGCGACTTCACCACCACTTCCTAGAAACAAATGAATGTCGAGAATACAGCTGAAGTAGTTGGAGAAAATATCTGCAGCCGGCGTGCCAAACTGCGGTCCATCTTCATGTATTCGTCCAAGTAGCTGAAGACTTCCTCAGTTTGACTTTTTGTTTAATCTTTTATTTATCTTTATCTCCGTCTGGATCTGGAGGGCGCGCCACATTGATTTGCAGTGCTCTCCGCACAAAGTCCACGTCGAGCCTTCGAGTTCGCACAAAGCTGAAAGGCCTACTGGCATCGCTACTAGGAGCAAGAAGCTACTAGTAACAAGTGCATCGCTACTAGTAACAAGTGCCTTACTAGTAGTAACAAGAAGCTACTAGGAGCAAAGGGCATCGCTACTAGGAGCAAGGACGCTACTAGGGGCTCCTGGCCGTACTACTAGGAGCGATCGGACGCTACTAGGAACAAAGGGCATCGCTGAAAGGCCAACATATTCCTTTCTGCCTCAGAATCATTCCTTTCCGCTTTCAGCTTCATGTCTCCCCACTCAAACTGGGTGTTGGATCCAGCAATTCACTGCTGTGCTGTGCAACTTGGACTGAGGGTGGTTTCAATTAATATCTCTAGCGGATGAACCGAATCAAACACATACTTGGAACAGAGGCAGGTTGCGTATCTTGCATCCTGCAGTTTTCATGCTTAGCAAGATAGCAAGCTCCTGCACCTAAAGCCTTGCCTCAAGTTGTCGCGAGCAAACTGGAAAGATTCGGGCAAGCCTAGCGAGTTCAAAGCTTCAGTGAGATGCTGTTGATTGAAAAAACTGCAGTTACTGAAAGTTTATAGTTGTTGATTCATACTCTCCGGTATGTTAGCTTTTTCGGGTTGATTGTGTATTGTGGATGAAGCTTGACAAAAGTTGGACACAGGAAGAACTCACAAGACTCTCAGATCAAAGCAATCACTACAATCAACCTAATAGCAATGGCCTCCAACCTACTAGCGATGGCCTCCAACCTAATAGCGATGGCCTCCAGTTGAATCCATAAACTGACCATTGGACAAAGCAGCTGTGAACTGTCATCAGCTTTTCTGAGTCGCCGCACTCTTGATGGCTCCCAGCACGACATCCTTGTTGGAGCGCAGTTTGTCTGAAGCAAACTGAAGAGTCAGTGGCTGCCTGATACAAAGCACGACTGCAGCAAAAGCAATTCTCTTTCGAACCTTCATCCATACCACTACTATCCACTACTTCATGACCTCCCAAAAAAGTCAACCGAATGCACAAAAAAAAAAGCTCGCAAGCTCCTTTTGGCATTGAGTTCCTTGAGTGCTTTCATTCATTTCTACAGTGTAAAGGAATGTCGGTAGTGGTGAGTCTCTCTCTCTCTCTCCCCATCCCTGAATCACACCTTGCAACGGCAGAAATCATGAAAATGTCGTCGTTTTTGACCTGACTGCAATCGGTCTTTCTTGGTTTAGACAGACATGGTCTCCAACTGCTTTGCAGACTTCAGCGAAGGAGAAATGATGTGGCAAAAGAAAACTATGAAAAGAAAGAAAGAAAAGAAAGAAAGAACGAACTCCAGAGACAACAATTTTGCAGAACTGCCGAATCCGGAAACTGAGCTCCTGACCGAATCCAAGGCAAACGCCAAGCACTCCGGTTGCTGGTTCATCGCGGCCAACACGATCTCTCCTCGCTATTGAGCGCAGGATTTAGAGAGGTGGACCTGTCTGACTCTCTGATTGCTTTCTTTGTGCCCAAAGCCAAGCTGCGATCACGCTTCAGACGCGAATCCGCATGCTCAAGCCTAGAGTCTGAGAAGGGAAGGCACAGTTTACGCTTCCCAGGTCTCATGGAGCTTTCTGAACATTTCCTTTTGGCTTGAGTGTATATTACATACCCACGTACCACACCCGAAAAAGATTGACCAAGTGCAACGTTAATGTACTCGGCGAGGGACCGTTTAAATGTGTGGTCAACGACTCAAAAATGTGCTGCGTGACTGAATTGTTGTCTTCCAGGTGTCTTCAATCTTGCGATTCCTTATCAAGGGACTGATTGCAAGCTAGCAGCGCGTATGGGTTGGATCTGATCGCCTGCAACACCACCTGCCGGTCGGATCGTAGATCTGCAGAGGCGTATTGCAGGCTGAGACCGTTCAGGGCAACTGCGAGCATGATGAACTCTTTGTCTCTCCTGCAAATGATCTCAGTGCTTCTTGCTTAGTAGCAAGTGCATCGCTACTAGTAACAAGAAGCTACTAGGGGCTCCTGGCA